AACTGGGACAAACTGGGACAAAATGGGAGCTCTGGGCACAGCGCGGCGCGGGCACCGCGTCACCGTGCAGGGTAACTGGGGAAACTGGGACAAACTGGGACAAAATGGGACAAACTGGGAGCTCTGGGCACGGCGCGGCGCGGGCACCGCGTGACTGTGCAGGGTAACTGGGGAAACTGGGACAAACTGGGACAAACTGGGACAAAATGGGAGCTCTGGGCACGGCGCGGCGCGGGCACCGCGTCACCGTGCAGGGTAACTGGGACAAACTGGGACAAACTGGGACAAACTGGGACAAAATGGGAGCTCTGGGCACGGCGCGGCGCGGGCACCGCGTGACTGTGCAGGGTAAACTGGGATGAACTGGGATAAATTGAGATGTACCTGGGCAGCACTGGGAGGCACTGGGATGGGCACTGGGCCATACTGGGAGGCACTGGGATGTACTGGGAGGCACTGGGATGTACTGGGAGGCACTGGGATGTACTGGGATTTCTTGTCCCCAGCGGCGCCGTACTGGCTGCGCCGGCCGCAGAGCGGGATGGGATGTACTGGGGCAGCACTGGGCCATACTGGGATGGGCACTGGGCCATACTGGGAGGCACTGGGATGTACTGGGATGTACTGGGATGTACCGGGGCAGCACTGGGCCATACTGGGAGGCACTGGGCCATACTGGGATGGGCACTGGGCCATACTGGGATGTACTGGGATGTACTGGGATTTCTCGTCCCCAGCGGCGCCGTACTGGCTGCGCCGGCCGCAGAGCGGGATGGGATGTACTGGGATGTACTGGGATGTACTGGGATGTACTGGGAGGCACTGGGATGTACTGGGATGTACTGGGATGTACTGGGATGTACTGGGGCAGCACTGGGCCACACTGGGAGGCACTGGGATGGGCACTGGGATGCACTGGGCCATACTGGGATGTACTGGGATGTACTGGGATGGGCACTGGGATGCACTGGGCCATACTGGGATGTACTGGGATGTACCAGGGCAACACTGGGCCATACTGGGCAGTACTGGGATGGGCACTGGGCCGTACTGGGATGCACTGGGATGTACTGGGATTTCTCGTCCCCAGCGGCGCCGTACTGGCTGCGCCGGCCGCAGAGCGGGATGGGATGTACTGGGATGTACTGGGGCAG